GCAAATTTATTCATTTTTTGAAATGAAGTGAACAGTGTGTGAAAACATGTTTCAACTAGTGAATTACTTGCTGTCACAATATTTATTATCAGTATTTGCAGCATGAGTGCTCTCTGAAATCACATGGTATTTTTTCTGTTCTTGGATCGAAAGACTAGTAAATCAATGAGGCAGTTTCATTATGGCTGCACAAAAATTTCCAGCATGAATACTCATGCAATTACATATATTCATGTGTATGCACAATACTTTCCTTAAACAACCTTCCAAACCAAAAGTTTGCTTGTCCAGATGTTTTGGGAAATCAAAAATGGGATTCTGACAACATCAAAGCAAATCAGCAATTTTCATTCAAATTACTGTTTGTAAAGATTGGTATATTCAGATTTATGCTGTCTTTCCTCCCCAGTGCCATTCTCCAACTCATAAAGGATCTTAAATACTGAGACCACGATGGTGGGTTACCATATACACTGTTGTTGAGAAGTAAGTGGTGCAAGGTGCTATTAACAAGTTTAAACACGGCACTCACAAACCTATACCAATATTCTCAGAGATACAATTCCTTCTATGTTTTACTCATAGGGAATCCCTCCAGCTGCCCCTTGCTGTGGACTGAGAGTAAATTCTCAATCCATCCCTGAGTGAGTAAAGTGGCTTGTGTTAGAGATTATATACATACAAAACACCAAGTCTTTGGCATACAGGAAAATGAAAAGGACAGTTGCTGCTACTATTGATATAACAGCTAAGAAAACACTTGCATCACAAAGATCATCTAGTATGACTGCCCACACCAGCACCTAGAGCATCCTTTCCTATAATAATACGTGAAAGACACAAAATTTCCTAGAGAAACTAGTAGTAAATAAGGGAGTATTCTTTCAAAAGTACAGCAGTGGTCCAATACATGGTCCATATGGGTTCGCTGCTTTTACATAGTGTGATTCAATGCAGAGGAACTGCCTGAGTACATGCCAAGTTATTCACAATGAGGGTCTGAAAATAGCCAGCTAGTTCAGCTTACCCGACACACAACACAGAGCTGGATGAACTGTTGTGGAAGGTGTAACTACAGATGGACTAAAAACTCCACTGAAGTAAATACAGAGATGTCCTATCCATAGGATAGTTCGGAGTGGCCACCCCAGGGCCTGTGGGATTCCCGGAGAACCTGGTGTAGGGTGGCAGCAGGAGCTGCCCACCACACTCAGTGGGGTGATGAGAGCCAGAGTGACTCAGTAGCCTGCTGCTCTCCATCCTGCCATACTCTCCCAGCCTCTTGTGTTCCACTTCACCATCGCAGCAGGAAGCAGAGTACTGCAGCCTCACGGTGCTCTGCTTCCTCACTGTGAAATGGAGAGCATCAGGCTGGGAGAGGGCATGAAGGCAGTGTAGAGCAGGCTGCCAGGTCTCTCTGGCTTCTGACATCATGGTGAGTGCAGGGGGGGTGACCCTGGGTGTCACTCCATGCAGGGCTCCTCTAATCCCTGGCTTACATTGCTCAGGGGATGGGCTTTGGACAAGGGGTGGAGCAGAGATGGGTATGGAGCAAAGGCAGGATGGGTTGGGTCCTGTGTCTGGGATGATGCCCTCGGCCTTGCACGTGGGACACTGGGGGGGTTGCCCCAGGCCCTGTGGCCCCTTAGGGATGGTCCCCAGTAAAAATATAAAACTATCTTTCAGCTTGGGCATTTCCCACAACTACATAGCAACTAAAATGCACTATGAAGTACCTGGTATCGCATGAGCAGATGACAAGTGTGACAGGAGAGGTATGATGACAGTTCTTTCTATGAATACACAAATATTCAAGAGTACTTCTGAAAATGTTCCATATTTGCAGGTGTATTACTATAAAAGCAACGGCATTGTCAGAGCTGCTGAATTGGGTGAGTAAATGTAACTATACCACCACAAAAGAAGAAAAGTTACAGGGGGCAGCAGACCAAAGGTGCTGAGATAGGTTCAACAAGAGTCAAAGTATTAAGCATTACCTGAGGTACAGCACAGAAATGAACAGAACCCTTGTCTTTCAGACTTAAGAGAATTAGTTGCTTTTTCTTATCCTTGACACCGGACAACCAAATCTGGGCTTAAAATACAGATGATTCAATCAAAAAACTGGCTAGGTAGTAACCATACCAGAAGAGGCAATTTTCAGTTTCTAACAGTCCATGTCCAATCCTTCAAACTGAGGCTTTATCAAACCTCTTTTTTTTTTTTTTTTTTTTTTTTTTTTTAGCCAGCAGAAAATCCTCAGTAGCAGAAGCTATTTAAAGTCCCTGGTCCAATATTGAATCCTCAGATTTGGCACTAGCAAGTTTCAGCTGGATTTTCTGGCCAGTAAGTAACTCAGCAGCAAATTTACTCTTTTTAATACAATGGCAACAATTCTTGGAAGTAACAGGAATGACTTTAGACTGTGCCAAAATTTAAATGAAAAAAATTTAACTGTAGCTGGCCTTGCCGCTTACTGGAAACACATCCTGTTTTCATGTGGGAGATCAGCGTTCAGACATTGCTGCTTCACCAGCCTGGAATGTGTCCTGAATGTGATGTGTAGCCATGCTGCCTTTATGAAATGATATACAAAACCTTGATGCTAATCATAACTATGGGAGAGGTGTAAATAGGGAGTGAAATAGAAAATAAGTGATTTCCCACAAAGGATGGGCTAAGAAAAATCCATAGTCCCATCTGTGCCAGTTTTTTACCAAGGAGAAATTATGCTACCATTTTTGTTCTTCTGCTAGTTAATTTATAAGAATGGGTACCTGTCACTAAAGAATGCATGCATTAATTTTGGAACAACAGAAAATAAATGTACTGTAAATATAGGGAAATGTATTGCACCTTCTCAAAGATGTCACATAAGGCCTTCTTTCTGCAATGTTCTTAAGAAAGTGCAGCAAAGTAGTCAATTCTCAAATGCTGGAAGTGCTTCACTGTACTGGGGCCTATCTAGTCAGTGAAAAAAAATATAAATTCCTTTAATGCAGCTGTTTGGCACATAAGAAGTCTTAAAACCCACAGCTATATTTCTTTGTTTACTTCTGCTGAAAACAATCGTACTGAAGATATTAATTTACTGAAAGGCTAAGAATTTCTCTAGCCAATTTCAGGTGCAAGTTGTTTTTCAATCCATAGTCACAAATACTTGAAAACAAGGCTTTAGCATGGAAACATTACCATGACTGCAATGTTACAATAAACATTTAGAAAGAAAAGTGCACCTTGAGATATATGTTTTACAGACTAAGAAGAATCCCCTCCTCTACAATCAGATTTTTGTTCCTACTTGTTTGATGTATGTCTCTAGCATCTTGCCTCACAATGTACTTAGCTTCTACATGGAATTCTGTAAAGTTTGAAATCCACCCTTGTCAAATCTCTATTTGCTCTTTAAACAAAAAAAAAAATGTTTCTTTTATAAATGCTGAAACAAGTATTCACAGAGTTAAGCAAAGAAGTATAGATAAGACAAAACATTTAGCTGATTTGGGCCATTCCTTTCCTATATGGTATACTGCATAACACATAGGAGAGGATATTTGTTGTTTTTTAAGTTTATCCTGTACAGACTAACTCAGCTACTCCCTGGAGCTTTTGAACATAGGAGAAAGGAATCTAGGTACATTGTAAGACCACTTGACCACAGAGTGGAAGGGAGAGTTACACTGAAGCTTTCAGTATATAATTCAGTTTAAGAAACACCCGTGCTAACAACCAGTATCAACCTGCTGTAAACGTTCACAGTCAAAATTTGTGCCTCTTGGTTCCATGCCTGATACAGGGGGAATTTAGTCTATACCAGCCCTATGCCTAATGTGATGTACTTTGCCGATTGGGCCAATGCACTAGTTGAGGGGCTAGAAGCAAACCGCCACCCATCTCCCACCCTTCCTATTGTGTGGGTGAAAAAATAGCCATCCTGCAGAGGCTACTTCACTTTCTGACCCTGACGTAGGTATCTGATGTCCAGGCTTTAGGGGGACCTTGTGCTTTCTAATTTTCCTCTGCAAATAGACAAGTTGGGGCACATAGAAAGCTAAGGTAATAGGGCTGAGCATTCTGAAGTTTAAAAGTGCCAATGTTAAGGTTGCACATGAACCCCAACCCTTCCCTTTTGCAGGTGCATTATGATACAATATTTGATCACCTGGTCAAATGATTTCTCATAAGATGCAGTCTTAGACAGTACAGTTTTTCTAATAGATTTGCACATTTAGCAACCGTTCATTACCACATGTATGCCAGAATCTATGGAACCCATTTTTAGAAAATATCCAGATTAACTGAGAGAAGTGGCTATACCAGGAATGTAAAAAACAGTTTAAAAACAGTAACTGTAACCATTAAAAATCCTAGTGGTTACACAGTTAACGGTTTTTGGGAACCTACGGCTAAATGGGAGTAGGGAGGGAAGGAAGGCGAATAGTGTCTCCACGGCTCTCGGGGAGCTGGATGACATGCTGTACTGCAGGCTGTGAAGTATAAGGCTTATACTGCAAAGCCTGCAGCATGGGGTGGTAGCTGGCTCCCCGGGACCAGGTCCAACAGTCGGCTCGTGGTGCACACTGGCTCCCAGATGCTTGCTCTGCTCCTCGGGAGCCAGCTGCACTGTGGGAGTTTAATCATAATGGAAACCAATACACTGATGCTTATCAGTTAACTGGTTAAATGATTTAAACTGTTACATTCCTAGCTACAACATGGCCAACAGCTCTCTTTGTCCAGAATATCACCAGGTTCAATCATCACTGGGTTTTGCAGTCTGTTACCATCAATGTTTAAGTTCTTTGCCTTTCTGATATTACAAATGATATAGAATCATAGAACCATAGAGCTGGAAGAGACCTCAGAAGGTCATCAAGTCCAGCCCCCTTCTCTAGGCAGGACCAATCTGAGTGACATATGGCTGCAGCCTGTATGCTATACCAAAGTCCTAGACCATTATGATAGCTGAGGTGACACAATCAATCACCAGTCTTACTCCAAAGGTAATTTGCATGCAACAGTTTCATTGGTTGAATGAGAAAGACTGCAGATTTGGTGGTAAGCTTGACCCAAAATCCCCATCCTTGTGACAGCACAGGCTTTCAGCATGTAGGACTGTACAATTTATTTACTTATTTCAATTTTCAGTTTAAAAAATCCACACATCAAAGGGGGTAGCCAGCCACAGATCTGAGAGCTCTATACAGTAACATCACCATTTTAAAACATGAAACCACCCCAAAACAGCAGCACTTTTTCTCCCACACTGCCATACGACCTTTACTGAGACATTGCGCAATCAGCTGACCAAAATGATTTCAACCCCCCCACAATGGTCAACAGATTTTTCTGCCTGACAGAAATCCCATTGTGAACAGCCTCAGATCTCCACAAAGCTCACTCAAATAGATGGGCTTTGATTGTAATATACCTGGGAAATCCACAGCCTAAGGTTATTCCTGGCCAGGACAAGAAAAACATCCAAAGGAAAAGGGCCCTCACTGAGTATACTCTGAGAACAGGCTCCTCCCTTTTATAGCAAGTCAATCACAGTTTGAGCAACTTGAAGTATGGGGAAAGAGGCTGCATGTGCAGCCTTAGCTTTGGCAGTTTTCAATTTGGGTTGCTTATTTGTGCAACCTTCATGTTCTTTTAATGTAGTTTTTCCATGGAAAAGAGATTCCAAAATGTGAACATTTTTCTTTAGCTACCACTAGGTGACTAGCTCACTCCATCCTACATAACAAAGGCACTCTTGGGCATGCAGGAGATAAGCACTGAATGAGGCAGGCTTTTGAAGAGCAGCGCCTGCCTGCCATAGAGGAGCAACTCTCTGTCTGTACTGTGTTTCGTGGCTATATTAGGGGCAAAGTGGGAGAGAGATGGGTCACAAGAAGAAACTACTGGCCAAATCCACTCATGGAGGAGTGGTACAGCAGCCACAGCTGTTACTGCTGCCCAAGGGGGGGTAGTAACAGCTGTGACCTAGTATGTTTGATTCCATGCCTCCTTTCCCTCAGTTAACCCAGGATTTCAACAGGGATGAAGATTTGGTTCTCAGACAGGCATTTCATAAGGTACTAGAGTGAGTGTTGTGTCTCAACAAATAAAGCCAGCCTGATCATAATTTTATGTAATAGTGTTGAGATATTTAATCATAGGAATCATCTAAGTTTGCAAAAACATATGCAAATATTCTCTCTCTCTCTCCTTTTCAGGAAAATGAATGTGGCCACACACCTCTTTATATGGAGTGAGTTAATTGTCCTTCTAAGAGCAATGCTCCAGTCAAGCCATCAGTTGAAGTGTCAGCAAAGTAGTCAGTGGGCAAACATTTCACTCTCAGGTTGAACAGTCTCTATATAAATTAATCTCTTAGTTGAAAATGCAAGTGGCAGGAAAAAAGGCAGGACCAATTCATAAAAGGGAGAATCACTTTACAATATTTCAGTGTGCTTCAGAGATCAAGTGTCATAGTTTGATATCAAACTAGACTCCTGTAAAATTTCTCAAGGTTTTTTCTCTAATAAGCATTTGTTTTCTCCAAGCAGTTCTGACCAATTCTCCATGGGTATGTCTACACTACCCCGCTAGTTCGAACTAGCGGGGTAATGTATGCATACCGAACTTGCTAATGAAGCCCGGGATTTGAATTTCCCGGGCTTCATTATCATAAAGCCGGCGCCGCCATTTTTAAAAGCCGGCTAGTGCGAACCCCGTGCCGCGCGGCTCCCCGCGGCACGGGCTAGATAGTTCGAACTACATAGCCATTCCGAACTATCTGTACTCCTCGTTCCACGCGGCACGGGGTTCGTTAAGTAAACTTTTTATTTATTTTCACTCCAAGCAGATCTCTAGTGTACAAACTGTGTGGAGCAATGGTGAGCAACCTGTGGCCCATTAGGGCTCTATCTGTGGCCTGCAAGACATTTTGTTTACTGTTACCCCAGCAGGATTGCCAGATTCAACTGATTTCTGTCGACATAGGGTTTTTCCCCCTACCAGTATTACTAAAGTGACACACACATAAAACAAGGGCACATGAAGTGAGGTGCAAGCTGATTGCACACAGCATTGACTGTAAGAGCTGTGTGCTCTCTCTGCATCCAATCAAAGTGCTGCTACGGTTCAATTGGCACACCCGCAAATTCTAGGTACACAAGTGTAGTTAACAAAACTACCCTATTGCAGGAGACCATTTTGCTTCTGACAATCTTGCGGTCCACTGAGATGAAGCAGGACCACTCATACAGCCCACTCATCCACCTAGGTTTTCCATCACTGGTATGAAGTGTGTATCCCACAGTGAACTGATAACTAGAGATAGTTTCATGCTTTCATGAAAAATTAGCTAAAGATAGTTCCATGTTCGTGAGTACCGAACCACAAAATCTGGTACTCAAGAACTCACAGAAGGAGATATTTGGGTAGGACTGTTAATGTCTCTGACAGGTATAAATAGGTTGGCAAGAGCCAATTTGAGACCTTATGGTTATTGGCTGGTTCCTAGTTTCTAGGACCTATGTGGCATTATGCCCCATATTCTGCATAAGGATCATGCATATGATATGAGTTTGGCATAACTCAGATGTATTTTCCACAATATGAATCATGTGACATATCATTTGAAAGGTCCTGATTTACTGAATCTGATTATCTTATTTGTAAACATTTTTCATTTATGTAGCTGAAGTTAAGAATATTGACTAGATATCAATTACAAAAGTTTTTGTACTTAGGGAATGCCCGCCAGACAAAATGCAATCAATCTGGCTGGTTAGTCAATGGGCCATTAAGGAGAACAACAGACCTTTGAAAATGCTAATCTCCCACCTTCCTGGCATGTTGCTTTGACATTACAGGGTCATGTGATCATGTCATCTTAAACTAGACTCCATCTTGAACTGCTAAAGATATCAAACTGGGAAACAAAGGTTTCCTGCCATATGCAAATCCTATTTAGTCTAGGGAGTGAGTCAATATTGGTTCATCCTTCACTGGGTCCCTGTGAAAGGATGACTGCTGGAAACATCTAAGAAACAAAGAGAAAGGTGGAGGAGGATTGAACTGAGGTTGGAAATGGTGTCTAGCCTGTGAAGGAATACCTGGAATTTTAGCAGCAAGCAAAAGCAGTTTGTCCGCAATAAATTCTGCAACATATTTAAAACATCATTTAGGGTAAGAAATTACTACTGTAGCCAAATTCTTAGTTTGCATGCTTATTTTATATGCTCAGTAATCTTCCTTGAGCTATTTGTTATTAATTATAATAACTTAAAATCTATATTTTGTAGTAAATAGCCTTGTTTTTGGATTATTCTAAAACCAGTTTCTGGAATTCATAACTCTAGAGCAGAGAAGGAGAGAGGGACAAAAAGCTGTGTATATCTTCCTCCACATTGAGGGTAGGAAAGGATTTCATGATCTTATGGGCTGTGTCTACATTGGCATCCCTTTCCGGAAAAGGGATGCTAATGAGACACTTCGGAATTGCAAATCCGCGGGGGATTTAAATATCCCCCGCGGCATTTGCATTTACATGGCTGCCGCTTTTTTCCGGCTCAGGATTTTTGCTAGAGAAAAGCGCCAGTCTAGACGCGATTCTCCGGAAAATAAGCCCTTTTGAAAGTAGGAATAAGGGATTCCTCGGAAAAGGACATCAGCGCCCTGCCCCCCTTCCCCTCCCTCTGTGGTGGTTCGGCCAGCCACACGGCCCCCCGGATATCCCCCCCGCCAG